TGCCATCTTCTGCCAACTCATCGATAAGGATTGAGCTGATAGTAGCACTTTGCATGATTATTCAGTGTATCGATGCTTTACCGAAATCGCTTTTTAGATTTACATCGTGACCTGACTGAATTATGATATTGAGGCGCATTCATATCATGTGCCAGGAGTTTTTAAGTAGACCTTTCGTGAATGCAACTGGGCTCTTTTGTCTTTAGAAAAATTGCTCGATAACCAGAAGCGGTTGTCTCTTGCACATGTGGAGGGGCCTCATGTACCTCTTAAGATTTAGTGAATGCCATGAGAAAGTCGAACTTACACTGACTCATTACCTTTTAAAACAGAGCAGCAATAGGTTCAGGCGATGGTACCATTGACCGAAAGTCTTATCAATTACCACCCGGTGCTGCAGGCCTTGCCGTTCGAACTGCGGTAAGCCTTCTGCTTTCCTAAATTTCTTGCCTTTAGAAGTGAAACGAGTCTCTTTTAAATGAGTTTCATTGTCTAGATTCGCGATGCCAGTGAAGGTGCTGATATCATTATGATTAAGCCGGGAATAACCTACTTAGATGTCATCGCAAGCGTTCGGCGCGAGGTGAAACACACTTTCCTAAAATGGTGTTACATAGACATCGGTGTCTTGTGTTAACAGCCGACTTGTTTGTCAATTTAGCTGCCGTTCCATCCGATTGCTGTTTACCATGTATCTGGCGAGTATGCTATGTTGATGGCTGCTGCGAATGCTGGCTGTGTTGACTTGAAGTCAGCTGCACTTGAAATCATCCTCTCGTTCCGCCGTGCAGGTATGTCAGGCGACCTTATTTCTCTACTCAGGCGTGTCTATTTTGTGATGTGAAGAGGGTAAAAATGTCACATTATGCCTAAGTGCCAATCATTCAGTGCTATGCCCTAGATCAACCCACCTATTCTTGATCAATAATAATTCTCTTTACTGGTCTTATAGTGCAATTAAGGTAATATTTTTTTTAAATATTCAAGGAGCGTCCATTATCATAACGTACTTGACACCTTATCTGCTGAACTTGGATCTCAACGATGCATTCAGCTAAGACTTGACTTGCTCGTGTCAATTTGATGATTAAATTAACGCATAACACATGGCTCTTGAGCTGTTTCGGGTTTGGGAAGATAATGTGATTGGTGCGTAAAAAGGTCCGGTGTAACGTGTGTTCACGGCTCCCCAATGGTAAGTAAAGGGAGGTAATGCTTGGGCATAGGCCAGATGCCAGCCTATCCTGTGAAAATACAATCGTAGAGGCTTGAACCGATTTTCACCGATTCGAGGGCCAGATATGCAACCAACGGGGTACATAGACCCTCTCTCCATTTGAATGTCTTTACCAGCGACGCACTTGGACATTAAAAGGTTATTTGTTCTGTAAATAGCCACACAAAGTTGTGCGTGCGAGTTAATGGGATATCATACATTGGTATGGTGTTTCGTTGGTTTTGGTAACTGGGTAAAGGAGCAAGATATGGACTATCCTTTGCGTTTTCCGATCTGAAGACGAGAGGATCTCGAATTGAGGAGCACTTATTAGCAAACGTTATCGCATTAGCACGATTCCGGGTGGGAAGGATTTGGAGTCGGCCCACTCTTGCCACGTTTTTCTCACTTCAGCTCTAGCCAACCACAT